AAAACTCTATGAATTTTAGCTACTCTCAATCCTTCTCTCAAAAACTGTTTTAAGCTTCTCTGATGTAAAACATATCCCTCTTTATCATAGAATGTTGTTAATAACTTTTCTGTTGATTTGCCTTTAATATTAAAACTTTTATGATAATCACTGAACCATTCTTTCTTTGGGGTTTCTTTCTCACATGCAAAAGGAAGGTCTTTATGCTTATTATGAAGAACACTCGGGTACCTCAAATCAACTTCAAAATAATAACCTTCTTCTTCGTCATTCAATTCCTCTTGAGAAGAAATAACAATATTCATCAAAGCCTTTTCATAATCCTTTTCTTCCACCCACTCTAATTTACCATAAGGTAGAGATTGAGACATTGCCCATCCATACAAATTATTAGCATCAAAATACATCAAATAATTACTATCTTTTTCACTATCATAATTTGGGAGATATTTATTATTTGCTTTCGCATATCTTTTTGAACATACTTGTGATATTCCACCTCTCTTGGACTTCTCAATCATCAAAAGCATATCAACATCACTGATTAAATCTATATCTTGTTTTGTCATTTTCAACATTGCACTCCAAGCTAAACCAGGAGCTGTGAAATAGTGGGCAGGGTCTAATCCATAACAATTTTTATTATGACAGAGTGTTCTAAAAGCCTCAAACACATCAGCTAACAATAAAACATCTGTTTTTAGATATAAATCATGATATTCTCCAAGGTTCTTTATCTTAAATATTTTCCATATTTCTTGTGCGTGTTTATATTCCTTATCACTTATCTCTTCTTCATAAAGGTTATTATAGAAACTTTCTTTTGAAGGAAGTTGTGTTTCTTTAAATCTCATAAATGAATCCATATAATCATAAGGATAAATTCCCTTACTTGTAAGAATTTTCTCTTTACTTTGAATTTCATTCCTTGTTTGAATTTCCTCTCTCGTAAGAATTCCTTCTTTAATCAGAATTTCATCTTTAATCTGAATTTCCTCTTTAGTTCGAATTTTCTTTATAATTAGAATTTCATCTTCAGTTAGAATTTCTTCATTAATTAGAGTTTCCTCTTTACTTTGAATTCTCTCTTTAATCTGAATTTCCTCTTTAGTGAGAATTTCCTCTTTTGGAAAGAATGAATTAAGATTTGGAAAAGAGTCCGTGGAGCTTAGATTTGATGCGAGGTAGGCTAGTGGTGTTCCCATAAACTTGTAAGAATCTAAAAACCTAATACGAGTTAAAGGTTTTGTGAATATCATTTTTGAAAATGAAATATACTTTTGACTTGTGTTTGTTATAGCAGAAATATTCCCTGGTGTTTTTGAAAGTTCATTTATAAATAGATGTGTATCATAGTTGGCGCTGTTGTGAAGAAAGACTGGAATAAAAGAAGGTAATTTATAATTAAGATTACAACAGGAATGAGCGGGACCTCTATATTTACCAGTAAGATGACAATGGTCTCTAACTTTAGACTCCTTAATTTCCCCCTCACAAATATGACAGATATTGTTCATTCTAAATTCTAATTTTTCTTCTTTGGTTAATTTCATCGGTTCATTTGTTTCTTTCATTAATTTAGTGAGTCTTATACAATCCTTTTCTAATCGTTTTACAAACTCTTGTGAAGCATTTTTTCCACGATAATGTTCAAGTTTGTTATACTTTTCTCCAACAGATGATTTGATATAATAACAGAAACCACAAGGAATATGTTTTTGATATTTATTTGTATATGGTTCTTTTGGATTAGGAGAAGCAGTATTTATCTTTTTAAGGATACATTCAAAATCAGCGTATATCACAAATGGGTGCATGATAGATTTATTATAATCTTCAAAATAAATCTTTTCACCAGGTTTAGGCATTGTAATTACAGCTGATTTATGATTACTACAATATTTTGAATGTTGTTCTAATCGTTCTTTTGTATGAAATGAATTAAGACATCGCTTACAAGGATATATTTTGTTTGCTGTTCTGAATACCTGAGAAGAGATTAATCTTGATAAATTATTGATGTATGTGTAATGTGAATTCTTTCCAACACTAAAATATAAAAGGTCAATGTGTGTTTCTTCATTTTTATAGTTGTTTGAAATTTTTAATATTTGAACTTTGTTTGTATCCGTTAATCCATATACATTAATAGAAAGATTATTCTTTTTCTCAAATTTAGGAATATCTGTTAATGGCATTGGGAATTTAAAATCTTTAATGTCCAAGGTATTCTCATATTTCATATATTGTTTTACTC